GTTATCGATGCTTACAATTAGTTATCCTCACAGGAAGGAAAATTTGTGTTCTTAAATGAGCATTAAGTGACAGCGAGTACAATAAGAGTGAAATACTGAGATAAACTGCTCAGGCACGTCCTATACATTGTCTTCCGACAGTATCCACTAATGGGGTGGAAGCATAACCAGCAACATCGCTAACATAAGTGTAACATTCATCCTTAGGACTCATTTTACCCCTGACACACATCTGCTTGATGGCTATAATTATATCAGCAGAGATTCATGGTCAAAGAGAATGTTCTCTCTCACCAAGATCCCCCTCATTTTTTGTTTCCACCCACTCATACCCTCATTCTGTTTCGCCCTGGAATTTTCATCAGCTATATTTTAAGTATATTTAATTTTTGTAATCATAAACTTCCCCCCCCCCCTTATGATCAGAGCTTAAATTGTGCCGGAGCCCACTAGATGTCGGCTCCGGTGCTTCTTAGTTTTTGTAATAAATCATAATTCTAGCCGGACCGCACCGGAGCCCTGAATAAGAAGGCTGTGGCACTTTTATGTAATTGTATAAAAATTTCAGTAGAAATTTTATCCCGGAAATTTATTTTAACAATAAAATTATATTAAAAAAATCGTGTATTAAATTTCAATTTTATCTCCTTACATATTATTTAATTAATTCAGTCTTCAATTATTTCAATAAATAATAATTAATTATCTAATAATTATTAATTAAATTATAATTAATTAATTATCTAATAATTATCAGTTGAATATATTTTAATTATATACTAATTATTAATTAAATAACAATTTATAAACATTAATTAAATAGCTATTAATTAATTTGATAATAATTAACTATTTAATTTTTAAATTATTAATGAGTTTAATTATTTATTTACTTACTCTTGTTCCTCTTCATTTTATTTATTTATTTACTCTTGTTCCTCTTTGCTGACGTTCTTCCATAGGGCTCGGGCACTTCTAATCTTAGAAATTAAGCCCTTCAGTAGTTACACTTCAAACTACTGAGAACATTAAACACAAAGTAATGCAAAGCACATCTAAAGGGAAAGCTTCTCAGTTTATGTGGAACTAAACAATTCACAACAACAATAAGTAAGCAACTGAACTCAGATGCTCTTTGTCTGGCTTTTTATAGTTTTCAACCGGCCGGAAGATATTTCTAGGACTTTCTGTTTCTTGAAATTACCGGAAAGCAATAATAGTGTGGAATTACGGTTTATAGCTAGACATAGTGGTCTATTACATTTCTTCAGTTACAATACTTATTGCGGTGATACAGGGACGGCACCAAAATGCTCGCCAAATTTGGCAACCATTATGAGGATTTTTCGCCAAATTACTGAGATACCCATTTATTCGGCCGTTAAGTCTTAAATACACTTGCCCCTGTACTCTTACTTTTTCGGCATAGCTTTCTCTTTAAAATTTATCTCTTAGAAAATTACAACAATTTTAATTATAATTCTACTAAAATTACCTAAGTACAAAATTCGTAACAATATGAAAAATATGGTGAAATAGCTGGTTATGTATTGAATATTGGTTAGCATTGCCTTTGGTTTTAAGTGAAGAGTGGTTGAAGATCAGATTGTCGTAAAGTTGTCTATCAAAACGTAAAAAACGACTGTATTTATAGTTATCCTTCTGTATTCATTTATTTATTCTAAATTTTAAAGGAGAAAACGTTACGCGCTATTTTCAGTATTTTCGACTCCCCCCCTTTTTTTTTAATTTGCGAGGTTTGAGTGTCTCTTGAAATCGCTACATACTTGAGTGGTTCTTGAGATAGCTACAGTTATTTAAGTCATGATGTCTTGTCAAAGGGTTGTTGAGGTAAATGAATATGAAGATTTGCATTTGAATGATATTAAAAATAATTTATAATTTCCATTTATATCTCCTTTTCCTTTGAACTTCATAAGAAAAGACACACGTTTTTGGAAGTCATGAAGAAAAATGTGTAAGAAGTTGTTGGCAAATAAGGTTTTCTAAAAGTACGGTAGAATAATATTGGTAAAACAAATTTTATTATCTCTAAAAATGTCATCTTAGTAATAGGAAAATTTGGCTCATGTTATTGAAGGAAAGATTTGAAATTGGAAAGCCGATAGATATTTGTCAGCTGCAAAGTACAAATTAAGTGTTTTAAATTAATAGTTATATTTTTCTGTGCAGTATTAACATTAGATGATTGGCACTTTCCTTTATATAATGTTGTTTAATAACTTAAATATAAAAATATCAGGTGACTGTTATTTTGGGTGATGTAATTTTAGATGTATAATTAATCAGAGTCAGTAGAAATTATTTATTTATGCGGAAGACAGAAAAATCGATCCAAATTATCGCTTTTGATATATTGTTGACGATTTAATTAAAGAAAACAAGCACTCCAATGTGAAATTTAAATTGATTTTGTAGAAAATGGTTTATGTGATTACGGCAAAGCCTCGAGAGCTATCTGCCTAAGAGAAGGGATGCCTTCGTGAAGGTCTTTTTAAGCGAAACTGCCTCATATACACGTTACATATGGGGAAAACCACGGAAACGCCCATCCAATTTCTATAGTTAGCGGGATTCTATTCTCGGACCGAACTACTAGTGTTCAGCGTCTTTACCACTCGGTCGCTGCTGGGCGGTTTTAAAGAAAAACACTGCATTTCCAGCAAACTGAGCCCGTCTTCTTAAAAAAGCAAAAGTATTCTGCGCCAATTGTTAGAAGTGCGTCATTTAAATGGATCAAGTTAAATAATTAAGTATAGAAAATTTTCTGATTAATCTGTAAATATCATTTAACGTGAACATTCAGGTTTCGCGATCAGATTTCAAATCTGAGCAATTAAAAAAAGCAGCTCTTATTTTTTTCGAGAGAAAACTTAATTTTGTACTGTTGCCCGAAAAGGCCTTTATTTAGCGCTAATGACATCAGACTTCGTGTAATGTAATTGGACGGTCTATTGAAATCAAATTTTAAGCAGAGAAGAAGAAAGTGAGGATGTGATGCAGCGATAATGATTAACAGGAATACAGAATGATGATGTAAAGGAAGTGAAAGAAATCTTAATTATGGTGAAAATAAAATTAATTAGCAGTTAAGGCCCAGATAATTTTCATCAAGATATTAAGTTTTAGGTGATAATGATATCATATATTTGTTTGAGATGAACGAAAAATGAATATTACGGTAGTAGTTGTGTGCTTATATACAACTATGATGTTGGAATGTAAAATCTTCTGTGTTAAAGGACATCTTTGAAACAAAAAATTGTTACAAAAATTTATAATTAAAATATATAATTAATAAACCCCCGACTTTTGCAAAATGCTGCGATTTGCCATTTTTAATAAAAATAGTAAAAGCCATCATTTTCCCATGCGGACCTTAAGATAGTTTTGTCCGAAACAGGTTTTTCAATTCCCAGTTATTTGAAATCGGGTGCGGATTTGGCGGTATGTTATAAAAAAGGAAGCAAAAGTTGTAGTTGGGGCCGGATTTAGACTTGATGAGGCCCTAAGCTATTTCAGGTATGGAGCCTTTTATAAGTCTGTTATATTATATTTTAATACTATATTTATACTATATTTGTGTAGTTGGCAAAGTTTGGTGAATATGGAAGGCTCCGAGAAAATTCAATTCATCTGCTGATGAATTTGGGGGGGGGGCATAATATTAGTTAATTAAAATTTCGAAGATTGTTTTAGGAACTAGCTTTAATTAGCTACATCAAATACATTAACTTCTTTATGTCTGATTTGTACGGATTTTATAAATTCCGTATGATTTAAAACCTGAAATAAGATTGAACCAGGAATGTTTAATAAAATTTAGAAAGAGAAAAATACTTGAAAATTATTATTTTTTTTTTGATAAGCTAATAATTTTGTTATTTTAAAAGAAAGAGAAAAATGGCATAACAACGAGCTTATCATGATTTTTTGACGAGATAATTTATTTTTTAAGATAATATGAAAAAAGTTGTTTTTTAATCAAGTATATAAGGAGAAAAACTTCTGTAATTGGCAACAGCTTTCAAGTAATTGGATTCGTAAACGAGATTTTGAGTAACAAACCTTAAGGATACTAAAAACCTAAGAGGGAAAAGAAGTCCTCTCCCGTTTTTAATATATCTGAGTGAGGAAATTTAACATGGATGAATACAAACGGCAAAATTTCCGTTAAACTGGTAGAGCTGAAATTAAATTTATTATATCTTATTAGAATATGAAAGAAAAGAAGAGAAATTTCCAGTTTTAAGGTTAAACCGAATGAGAGGATAAAGGATTTCATAAATACAATGTAACCAAAAATGTTCTTGCTGTTTATGATATGAACATTGGAAGAGGCGACGAAGTGGTTAGGATGGCAGTTCGGACATTGACCAAAAGCGCGTTTCATCGATTTTCATCGCGTATGCCGTCGGGGTGTAATAGTTAGCCCACTCAGCGCGTACTCGAGAGGTCCAGGTTCGAGTCTCGGCGAGGGCATTGAACATTTTCCCCATCATGGCATCCACTTTTGTCTTTGCCTAATCAGGTGGTGGTGTATTTAATTACGGCAAAGCACACTAGGGCTATCTGCCAAAGGGGTGGATGCCTTTCGTGGAGGACTTTCTAAGGGAAACTGGCTCGTATACACGTTACACTTGCCTAATCAGGGCTAGCTCACTTACATCAAGAGATCTTGCGATGCTGGTTATCCTTCCTTGGCTTCCTCCTTCCTGGCGGATATATGCTGAAGAAAGTTTTACATTAATGCGCCCATCTCGCATAAACTACAGTTGTTTGTGGTATTCTTACTAAATCGCACCAGTCAGTCAGTTTCATCGCGTCAAAGGCGCTCGTTCGGAGTTGTTTGCTGCATGATTTTAAAGTGGGCCTGTCAGCAGCAGAATCAAGTCGTCGAATTTGACAGGTGTTTGGGGATGATGCCGTTAACGATCGAACCGCTAATGCAATGATTCCAGAAGTTCAGGTCAGGGGATATGTCACTTAGTAATGCACCACGCAGCTGTCGGCCACAAGCGCTGGATGATGAGGCTGTGAGAGCAGCCGTACAGAATGACAGTAGCCAAACATTTGGTGAGCTTGCTGCACACTTCCAGGTATCTGATGAAACGATCAGACTCCATTTGCATCGCATAGCAAAGGCATACAAGCCGAGCAAGTGGGTACTCCTCTCACTCTCCGATGCAAACAAGCAACAGCGTGTCGCTGCCTGTTTGTCGTTGCTTACTCGGCACCGCAATGCATCCATATTTGATCGAGTACTCACCAGCGATGAAAATTGGGTACAGTATGACACACCCAGGAGTTCTAGGTTGTCACTACGGGACCCTGTGCCTCACACTGCGAGACCTTCTCTCCACCCACGCAAGATCATGCTCTGTATCTGGTGGACTAGTCGCCAAGTGGTGCACTATGAGCTCCTGCCAGTGGGCCAAACCATCACGGCAGGCCTGTACTCGCAGCAGTTGGAACGTGTGCATTAGTCAACCGTATGGGTGCACTCCTCCATGACAATGCGAGGCCGCATGTGGCTCAGGAGGCCAGGGACACCATCCAGCGACTAGGCCGAGAGACAAAACTCACTCTAACATCACAACAAAACTCACGCTATGAGCAGAACAAGGTATGCAAAGGGGGTTTCGTTATGCGTGCATATGTCGCATTCCCCTCCAATCTTCCTCGTTTCGTTGCTTATTGAACATGTTCACTTACTAAACGTCGTATTTGATTATTAATTCAGCTTGTTCACAAAAAGCTCCCAATGGCTGGTTTCGAAGCTTCTCATGATCACCAACTTAAAGGAAAATTTCTTTCCGTCGGAAATATAATTTCAGAGAATTATCTTCCTAAAACTCCTTTACATCTTTTTCCTTCCGTCTCAGTGTGGTCTTGTGTTGCATTATCTAATAACTCTTGAGTTCTGTACTCGGAGACAATTCTTGTCTTTCGCATATATGATTTGTTTGATTCTGATGTATTTCATGGTTAGAGAGAAGCTTCGAGAGTCTTCCAGTTTCTATATCTGTGCCTCACAAGGAAGCTATGGTTAGAATTGAAATACAGGGTTAGCATAAATGATTCATTCATTTTGAAAAGGCTATATTTTCAAAAGTATTACGGGTACGCACAGGAAAAATATATGAAAAGAACTACCAAGTTTTTTAACTATTTCACTAATTTTTCCGGATAAATGGAACGTTGCTTCATCATCGCATCGCATGAGTTTAATAATAATAATAATAATAATAATAATAATAATAATAAAAAAGAGAGATTAATAAATATGTTACAAATTCTATAAACATGGAGGAGCTAAAATTTTAACAGCTAATTTTTTAAAAACTACTAGTGCGATTTTTACAAAACTTAGCAGTTTGGCAAATACTTATGTTAGAACAATGCTAGATATAAATCTAATACATATCCTAAGTCACGCTTTCGAGACTTGAAAAACGCAAGTTGAATTTCATCTTGTTAATCAAAATAGAACGGGAGATTATAGAACTATTTTTTTTTTCCCCTCGCAGTGCACGTGAAACTGAAAATCATTTGAGAATTTGCTTTGAGAATTGAAACATTTGCTTTGAGAACAATATTACCTGAAAGAAAATGTCTCATTTTGAAAATAATGTTAGAATTTACCTGAAAAAGACCACATTTTTGCTTCGAGAACTGTTTTACCTAAAAGAAAATATCTCATTTTTAAAATAACGTTAGGGGAATTTTCAAATTTTGCTTACATATGCTGTCCCAGAAGAAAAGAAAAAAAATTCAAGATAAATTAATATTTAAAGTTTAATTTTAATTTAAGCAATGCATTGCATAAAGATGACTATAAATGTATTTCTACCATTTAAAATTAAAAAAAAAATTGAAAATTTTTAGATATAAATTTTAAAAATTATGATTGTAGGCAAAAATGCCTGTCCCTTTCAAGTTTCATGTTATTCAAGCTCTTTGTTTTGTAACCCAGTTTATTTTCTTAAATGAAGAAGTTTAATTTTTTTAATTTGAACTGTTAGTGTGTTATATTCATAATAAAAATTAATTCCAGCAATTTTATTTTTCTTAAGCAAATCAATCAAAAAAAAAAAAATAACATGAGTGACTTGACATGAAGTGGAAGACAAATTATTTTTATTGATTTGCTAAATTTATATCTAAAAATTTTCAGTGGTTTCTTTATATTTTAAATTGTAGAAATATATTTATAATCATCTTTATGCAATGCATTGCTCAAGTTAAACTTTAAATATGAATTTATCTTGAATTTTATTCTTTTCTTCTGGGGCAGCATATGTAAGCAAAATCTGAAAATATGCCTTAGAACTTTTATTTTAAAGGAATGTTGGTATAAAAGCGAGTTTTGTGAATATACAAAATCAGCGATGTATGAAAAAGTTGTTTGATTCTTTCAACAGAACTGTTTCGTTGAAGAGTTCGGAACTTGCTGTGTGTATAAACCGTTTGTGTCTGGTATAGAACAATCCATTTGCTCGCATTGGCCCACCTGGCAATTTGCCTACTATGTTATTAGCTGTATCACAAGTCTTCTTTTTCTTTGGAGCTCTTTCGCTGTTTGTGTAGAAGAAGGGCGGGAAAAAAATGCTTTGTTATAATCTACTTACTTTTCTTTTTCTTATCTCTTCATCCTTGATAAATTGGCTCGAACAAGGAAGATTTAAAGTGCATTTCACATTTTCAGTAGTGCGTGCTGTGTTGGTTCAGTCACATGACTAAAAATGTGATGTAGACACCACATAACTTCCTTGTACGGCCTATTAAATTATGCACATATTTTGCTGCATTTCATTTAAACTTATTTCCCCGAATTTCGTTAGCTATATTTTCTCATTCAATCCATTTAGTTGTCATTTTACGGCATGGAAAAAAATACAGAAAAACTCAAAAAATATTCATTAATAATTTGGGGGGGGAAAGAACTCATTCGGCAAAAAGACACTGAAGTTGGTGCAGAAACGGACTTAATTCACTGTGCTACTAAATTTCAAATGTAAACAAATGGCGGCATCGTTAGCCTTAGTAAAACTTAAAACAACTTTTAAATTGTTGATAATTCTACAGCTATTGCATGCAGATTAACTAAAGGCATAAAATCTTTCACCGGAACATAAGAACATTATAATTCAATCATTTTTAAACCAAAATGCTCAATTTACCAATATATAAGAATATAAAAAAGGAGCTCACCGATCCGGGTAACAGAGTGGGAATATATATACATATATTTATATACTTTTGGTGCGATCCATTGCAAGCAGAAAGGGAGGTGCACATCTACATGTTATAGTACTCTTATATACAAAATTTCAACGTTCTGATTCTACTCGTTTTTGTCATAGTGTCTCGCAAAAGTGATCGGGCACAACAATATTTTTACTTTTTTAAGTAATAGGAGAAAAGCTTTACAGCCAACTAATAAAGAATATTTTTCCTTTGAATACATATTTTCTTAGCTATCTCTTTGTACTGAATAAATTTGGGAAAATGAAAAGGTAAATTTAAAAAATAGCGTTTTAGATTGAAATTTAAGAAAAAGATACCACAAAAGTAATCGGACATTTTCATAATTCCTAATTAAAATCATTTGCAATAAATAAAAAAACGAAATTTTATGGAATTAGTTTGGATAAAGAAGCTGGGCAAAACTCTAAAAAATCGTTTGCTTTTATAATTCGAATTTTCTTTTTAGAAAATATTCGTTATTTTAATGTTTTCTTGCAATGGCTCGGTCACGAAACGAAACACTATAAGAAACCCGCAGATTAGTTATTGATTTGCATCAAAAGAAAGGGAAACCTGTTAGAAATATTGCCGATTTAACTTAAGTGATTCTACAGTTTTTGGTGTAATTAAGCGTTATAAGATACAGAATCGTACTCAAAACAAAAGAAGGCCTCCAAGACCATCTAAGTTGTTTTATGGAATGAAACGGTTTATGCTAAAGAATATTAAAAATAATCTAAGACTGAGTGTTCCTAAACTTGTTGCAGAACTTCGTGAATTATCGGAAACTAAGTACCGTTTTGAGAAAAAAAAATAGTAAAACAATTTTTTCGAATCCAATTTTATTTTTACATGAAAATACATGTCTTAAACTATTTTTCAACATAGTTTCCGCCAATGATCAAACACTTGTCATAGCGGGTGACCAGTTTTTGTATACCATCGTCAAAGAAACTCCCCGCCAGTTTCGATAACCACGAATCCACAGCATTTTTCGTGTCATCGTCAGATCCAAAGAGCTTGCCACCAAGCTCGCGCTTAATGTGCAGGAACAAGTGGTAGTCGGACGGCGCCAAGTCCGGGCTGTACGGCGGGTGATCGAACTGCTCCCAATGAAAATGTCGAATTAACGATTGAGTGACACCAGCAGTATGGGGCCGAGCATTGTCATGGAGCAACACAATTCCTCTACTGAGCATTCCTCTTCGTTTGTTTTGAATGGCACGCCTTAGTTTTGTTAAAGTCTCACAAATATCGTGCCGCATTAATGGTTTCACCTCTGGGAAGAAATTCAGTAAGCAAAACGCCTTTCCTATCCCAGAAGACAGTGCACATGATTTTTTGTGATGACATTGTCACTTTTGTTTTTTCGGAGAATGAGTGTGTCTCCACTCCATCGATTGTTGTTTCTATTCTGGTGTGAAATGACACACCCAAGTTTCATCACCTGTCACAATTTGGTTTAAAAAGTTTTTTCCCTCATCACTGTACCGCGTGAGAAATGTCAGGGCACTACCAAGTCGCTTTGTTTTGTGAACATCAGTGAGCATTTTTGGAACCCATCGAGAATACAGTTTGCGATAATTCAAGCGGTCAGACATAATTTCAAAACAAAACAGTACGTGAAATTTGTGGAAATGTCTCTGAAAGACTTGTCATTGTGAAGCGTCTGTTGTCATGAATTGCTTCCTCAACTTTCCTTACCAAGTCATCGGTGACAACAGAAGGCCGACCACTCCGAGCCTCGGCGTGGACATTTGTTCGACCTGCATTAAACATTCTTACCCACTTTCTCACCATTCCATCGCTTATCGCGTATTCACCGTAAACTTCTGTCACTTGACGATAAATTTCGGCCGGTTTAACATCCCTCGCTTCAAAAATTTAATCACGGCACGAATCTCACAGTCATCGGGAGAACTAATTGTCTTAAACATTTTGAATGTGCACAGCAAACTGAAAACACAACATAGAGCAACCAAAATGGCGACAATTGTCAGTGAACAAGAAGGACTAGTGCGCATGCGCAGGACGCCTACCTCAGCGCTGCGACGGCGCTAGAATGAAACGGTACATAGTTTCCGAATACGCTACGTATATGGAATATGTGTAAATCCAGAAAGTGTAAGAAGACTAATGCGATCTGCAGGATATCATGGGCGAGTAGCACGCAGAAAATTTTATGTCAGTAAAAAACCCCCGAAAACTTCGCTTCGCTTTCGCAAAATCGATGAAA